TCTGAAGCCAATATGCTGTACTTTGCCCGGAATATAGATGCCAACAGAACAGAGAGTTAAACATGAGCTAGAAGAAAGGTCAAGACGGACATGATGTTATCAGGCCACTTCTAAGATTTTTTTCTAAGACTTTTTTTTGTTCCAAATAAGATAGGGTGTGTTTGTTCGTTTGAGTAAAGAAAAGCACAACAACACAATAATGTTCATTTAGTGCTGAAAAAGACAGACAGACAGAAACAATGGGGGGAAAGTAAAGAAGTAAGACCAATCAATGGCACCCTTCAACCACCTGCAGATAGGATTTTTTTTTAATGATGGCAGATTATAAAGTATATGGACAGATGCAAGTTTTACCCCTGAAGTGAAAGAAAGAAAAAAATGCAATTAATTTTAAAAAAATCTCAGCTCTCTTTCAAATAAAAGATACAAACACATACAAAGAATAGTCGAGTCTTTCCCCTGAACAATAAGTGTTTTCTAAGCCGTCATTTTGCGACATACACCGTAAACAAGCATACAGCACTGTCCATGTCACACTCAAAGCTGTATAGCCTAGATAAAGACAGTGTACACTAACCCTACTCCTGTGGTGACAAGGTATGATTCGAACAATGGCAGGTTTTCTTTGCAGTAAAAGTTTAGCAGCACTTGCAGCACAAATAAGTAAAAGAAACGCTCAAGATAAGAGGTCTTACTAGAAAGTAACATACATAGAATAGAAGAAGAGGTAAAGATGTTTGACATATGATAGGAGAGAAGGAGCAAACCACACAAGAGCACCCACCTACCACCTAAACAGTGGCTGGAACAGACCAGATTTGGTTTCTGATCTCATGGTCTTAGTACCTCAAAACAGCCAAAAATGTCAGATAGAACTTTGTAATTCTAAGGTAGCGAAGAGTGTACTGGCCAACCTAACACAACTACATGAATTTGTGCCTACTGCTTTTTAGCCTTCCGAGAACCATTTTGAGCAAACATCACGGAGCGACAAGGTATATAAGAAAAGACAAATGTGACACATTTCGCTTCAATAAGAATTTTACAGCACTTGAAATACAAGTGGCTCATTCAAGTGGTGAAGAATACAAGTTTTATTATCATTAGACAGCAACATACAAAGAACAGAAGGAGGAGAGATAAGGATGATAGATATTTGTTAGGTAAGAAAGTTTTTGTTTTAGTAAGAGTTTTACGGCACTTGCAACACAATAAGGTGATATAAGTGCAGAAGATTAGAGGTGTTACAAGAGAGTAACAAATACAAAAAAGAAGGAGCGGAGATAAAGATGATAGATGTTTGATAGGAAAGTAGGAGCATACCACACCAGAGCAACCACCAAGCACCCACAGAGGTAAGCAGGTGCAAAGCGATAAAGGACCAAATACATAAACATTATGACACTCGGTACTCTTGTGAAAGACAAAGCGAAAAGCGGGGAGAAAATAGCGGTGGTATAGTGTACCCAGGCACTTCAAAACCCCCCATGAACTGGATGAGGAAAATAAACACTACAAAAGACATATAGAGATAAAAAAAAACGTCGGTATATCAAAGGCTCTGATCAATTTCTCGCATTCAATAGAAGAAGCAAACAAGTCTACACAACTAATTTTGCAGCCCTAGCGTAACTATGCACCACATTCAAGAATGCTTTACATCATTATCTAGCACTTGCTGCCACCAGTGTTAACCATCTAAAATCCTCTCTCTCTAAGTCATACCCAAATTTCTACCTCTCAACTGTGAAGTCATCAAAAAATGCTGTCAATCTTCATCTTAAAGATATCCTGTCTCCACGACACATACTGAATTGCAAGAAAGTTTTCTGATTACAAGTTATTCAATAGTTGTGTATTTCATTTTAAATGATTTACATAATACAAAGACAATAAATGGCACAAAATCACTGTTCAGAAGGATGAAAAATACAATGTGATTGTGATACTGTCCTGCACACAAATCGGTCCATATTAGGTAACATTTTGACTGGAATTGTGCAACGCTCAGTGCTTCTGAGAACGAAACACAGAGTGACCAGTAGGCAATATAGCACAAACAACAAATACATATCATATATTAATAACACATATATATTTTATAAAAATCAGTTAATAGTTAATCTGCATAAGCTTCTTGCACCTTCAAAGATCTTTTTAAACACTTCCTATCCCCCCCCCCCCTCCGGGGAGACGGTACTTATCTCAAAGTTTTTTTTATCCATCAAATGTCTTTTAAAACAATGCTCAGCAGCACACAGAATAAAGACTTTAGCCTAAGACAATGTTTAAACTCTTTATCTGAGAGGGGGGTTAACCAACTATGCCAAGGGGGTCATCATTTGGTACGAAATCTTAAAGTGACATTTTCATTCATCACTAAACTGGTCATTAAATATAATACAAAAGAACCTATTCTGATAATTCTTCGTCTCTGAAAGAACTGGCAAAAGAGACCTGTTTTCAGCAATTGCTGAATACTTATTTGACGTTGAAGTCGTCAAAAATGAAAGCGCCCAAGCCGCTGCCAACGGCTCACTTGCAGAGCGGTTCCAACTGCGAGCCACTTGGACATCTTGCCAGAGATAAGGAGTAAAACAATCCCAGAACACCGGATCACAACATGAAAGTTTTCATTAAAAGTTCTTAATGAAAAAAAAAAAAATCTCGCAAAGACTCGCAGGAGAGTAAACATGTATCAGCACAATTTCAAGCCCCATTAATTGACTCTTTTCACACTCCCCAACATCACCAACGCTGCTTTTAAGCACATCATTACTTGCAATCGAGATTGTAACCATTTTGACGTCCTCATCAACATAGTTTAATCATCCACGGGACTGTTTTGACCCTAATCGTCAGGGACAACCAAACAAGAACTGGATATGGCATATCAACAGAAAGATGAATATTCTATTTTTTAAAAAAAGCTTCCTACCACTGGAACCGTAACCCATGTCTTCCACAAGCCCAACCATGAAACCACATGTGCAGGTAACCTTTTCTTTATTGGAAACACGTAAAGAAAAGCAGGACACGGAGTGGGGTTCTTTCAGGTTTCTAAAGAAGCAAAAATGGACTTTAGTAACTCTGGTTTAAAAGCATATATGCAGAATTAGTGCGAGAAAAACCAAATTAAAAATAAAAGTATGATGCAAGTGAAGTCACAGAAAACATGGGCAGATTCTTGTACATTCACAAAAGAGTATATATCGGTACATGTGGAGCACAGATAACTTTACAAGTACAAGGCAGCATAACCAAAACACAAATGGTTTCATCTTCATTCAGTTCAACCCAAATTTCATATACAAGTTCATATAAATGCAATTTTTTTTAAAAACACAAAAAAAAGCATCAAACTTCGACAGACACAGACCCAAGTTATAGCACAAAATTGAAGCCTAACAATTGGATCAAAATCGAGAGTTAACTTGTAAAAATGAATGACATCAAGATAAATGCCTTTCCTTCCTTCTGATGCATAAATCATCAGAACATACATTTTCACAATATCTCAGCACACTCTCAACAGGAAAATCCCCCCCCCCCCTCGCCCTCCCCACAATTCATATTCACAAAGAATTAACCAGTCCTCACACAGACCTAATAAGTTTTTCACAATGATTTTACAACTGTTGACAATTCCCAAACCATTGTTTAATTGTGAGTAAATCCTTAAAAGCTGAGATTGAAACTTTCTATAGCCTGGTTCATTGATGGAGGTTAGTCAGATTTAAGGAACTGAAAACATTATCAGGGCAAAACACAACTTTCCCACCGATTACAGAACAATATTCATTATCAGAGTAGCCACACTAAAGGACAGAAGTCAGGTGACTTCGTACAAGAAACTGTTGGCCCCCCCCCCCCCCCCCGATTATCAAAATATCTGACAGAATCTGTAAAATACAATGTTTCATTTTTCCACGCAAAAAACGGAAACGGCATCTACATAATTATTGCAAAACAAAAGTGTTAAACAAACCCGTCAACTCACACGAAGGCAACAGAAACTAAAACACAAATTGTGTTTGGATTTTCTGTTGTTGAGTGGATCCAAATCTAGGTAGGTTTATTCCATTTCATTGCTACCGTGAAAACCTTTCTGTCCGGGTCCCATTAATTTTTTAGGTTCGAAATACACAAACCTAACTCCCTTCATTCTATTCCAGTGAAATTGTGAGCAACCTTTTTCATTATTCTTACATGATAAAAGGTGGTACAATAAGTTAAAATATCAGCCTACTGGATCCTACTTTGCTCTTATGGCTAAACATTTTTAGTCAGCAACAAGCAAGCTAATACAATATAATGAAAGTGAATGGAACACACTTGTACGGCAACTAGTCTTCTCGTTGCACATTCTGTCTTTTACCTCGGTCAAAACTTCATTTTCAAGGACTAATCATGTCTAAAAATGACAGGTTCTACCACCCATCTATCAGGGATATGTCCATAAAGGTAAGCAAAAACATACAGAACATTAAAGGTCTGAATTAAAAAACAAATTACATGGCCATTTTTTATGCCTCTCCTGGTGCCCATGTTTGTAGCTCCCAAGAGTGACAGACCTGGGCAATGCACTGATTCAGTTAAGTCGAAGCAAAGACAGTACAGATGATTCATCATTAACTATAAAAGGTGTCCTCTCCTATCTATGCACAATAAGACAGATATCTCTATAGGTACGGAAAAAGACTTGCCCATTTTAAAAATAGTTTCTTTAAGAATAATCTTCCCTACTGTCCTCTCGCTATGAGATAAAGCTTGCTCAAAAAAGATGTGTATGACCTTTTAAAAATTTTAATCTGCGCTCTTGACAAGACCTGGATTTGTTTCCCAGAGAATTACCTATTTTATGTGCAATATACAGCGGAATCCTGTTATACCGAGTGGGAGGGGACTGGTGCGAAATGTCCGTTATAGCAGGATTCTCGTTATAAGGGACCCAGGAAATAATAATGTAGGCCTAATCTTTGAGTTTGGTGTTCTGTTTATTTTTTTTTGTTATCTTCCCTGATGATGATTTTGTTTCAACATGACCTCTAGGTCATACTTGATCAAAAATCGAATCAGGTTTATCAGGTTTCTTCTCTAGCGCTAGCGATGCTGACAGCTTGGGGTTGGCGATAAAAAAGAAACGGCTCTATGCTAATTTTTTAACTCGCATGCTGTGTTGTCCCCCACCATATCACACACTGTGATGCATTCCGTCTGCTTGCGCACGTCACATATTCGCTTCATTCCATCAAATCATTGTGACCTCTCCATCCCCGCATCGGAAAAGCAAGAGGCATGGTAGGTCTAGATAATCTAGACTAGGCTGGCCTATCATGCGATGCGTTCTGATTGTCTGCGCATGCCACACACTCCCGACTCATTCGCTTCAACCTCCAGTGTTGACACATGTGGACTCTCTCATTCTTTGTTTCGCTAGTTCTCCAACAAGTTTCTCAACCTGCGGGGTTTTACATTATGTATAATTGGCCTATGCGCTGCGCACAACAGCAGCAATATTCCGCTATAACCGACTCGCGTGTTTGTCTGATTGCACTATAGCAGTATTTTATTTACAAAGATAAAGACGGGAAAAAACGAGGTTTTATAATAGTGTTTTTATAACGGACTTCTCGGTATTTCAGGACTCCATTGTATTGAACAATTTTCGGTAATTAGGAAGCACACAAACACAATAAAAATTAATCAGTACCAGTGAAAAGATTCAGATCTACTCAAAGAGAAAACAAAGTTGTACTGATACAGGATGTAAATCCAGCACAGCCCACCCCCTTTTATGACTGAAAAACAAAACCATCAATAGTTTGATAAGAGTTCACCAAAAACAGCCAACAGTCTGGTAAATGTTTGCCAAAAAACAGCCAAAAGTTATCTGGACAACCATTCCCAGTCCAAGGGTGTGACAAACATAATAAATTGTATTAGAAATCCTCGTGCAGGCGAGCGTATGCGTTGGAGCTGGTCCCTTTACCGACACGCTCGTAAAAGTTGAGATCATCAATGTCATCCATGTGCGCATCGTCATTGTGCACAGAGTTGAAATCAACGTCGTCCTGATCCCGCTTCATCTCCACCGTCCAAAACTTCCAATTGGCCCGTCGGCCTCGGTTACGCCTCAGCCACAAGGCACCCACCACCAGGGCCACCAGGAGGAGGACGGCCACGATGACTGCGCCGATGACGCCCGGCGACACGGAGGAAGAGGACCGGCCCGCTAGGACGTCAGGGGAGTCAATCAGGACACAGCTCCTGCTGTAGTTGTTGGCTTGGAATCGCTTGTAGCCGGGCAAGCATCGCTCACAATGGAACCCTGTGGTGTTGTGCTGACAGTCCAGACACTCCCCTGACAGATACAATAGATGTTGAGTTATCAGTAGAATGACAGTAACAGATCTGCAACTCTATGAAACCTCAAAATCAGGATCTCCGGGAGAAAAAAATCGGGATTTGGTGAAACAAATCGGGATCAACAGCAAATCATCAAGGTGACTGCCAAAGCTGACTTAAAATGTTTCCAGGGGCGTCCATAAATTACTTGGCCTATATGCCTTCTGAGTGTCTTTGTTTGCGTGCGTGTGCGTGCGCGCGTGCGTGCGTGCGAGTTGTCATTATTTTTTGTAAGTCCTGAAGCATCATCAAGTCAAGCACCCCTTGTCCAAGTGTCTATACCCCCCACCCCACCCCAACCAATAAGTCCCGAAATACATGAACTTAAGTTGACCCCGTCAACGGACGGTCCCCGACACGCAGAACTCACACGGCGATGTCATGTCACGTGATGCAAATGCGCGATTGAAACAATTTTATTAACGGGTCCGCCTAACTGCGTGTTCACAAAAAACGCTCAGATAAGCGATAGTCGTTCTACTTCTCGTACTCTGGGATAACAACGGCGGCCGACCGACCAAATGTACCAACAAATCTCTTATCCCTCATAATGCGTTCAGACTAAAGCAACCACAACGGCCGTATGTTAGTCTTGTCAGCGCAGTTACATGTAGTTGTGTAAGGGTTAGAAAGACTGTCGCTCGTCCGAGTGTTTGGTGTGAACGCGCAGTTACCAGACCTCGGACAAGGCTTGTTTTGAAAGTACCAGCGGAAGTACGAATATTATCGATTATTTGTATGTTCCAAATTGTAACAGTTACCAGGCTATCATCGGAGAATTCTGAGTGTGGGCAAAGATCACACACAACTTGGGGCGAGTCAACTACTAAATGCGGCATCGATATTTTGGGAAATAGTGCTCCGAGTTCCTACAGACAAAAAGTTCAACGGGTGCTTCCCGGGATAAAGGAGAAGGCAGAGTAAGTTTTTAGAAAATTCCGGCACAACAGCAGACTGGGACAAAAAATCGGGATACACGCGATCGAAATCGGGAAAATCAGGATGCTTGAGATTTGGGGCAAAAAATCGGGATATCCCGACTAAATCGGGATGAGTGGCAGGTCTGCAGTAAAGTGCCCCCTTTCAATAATCACCCCTTCAGGACATTTTACACTCTTTCGCATGGACGCTGGTTCTCACTGCCCCCCAAAAAACACAAACAAATACGTGAGCACAAATATTCGTTTAAAGAAACCAAAAAAAACCTCTCCATTTTCTCTTGAGCATCAGCGAAGCCTATGAGTCATAATTTCATCAAGGAATAAAAAAAGGAAGTACCCAGGGCACTAACAGATAGTTGCAGAGTGTTGCCCCCTTGAAATCCACATTAAAAACCTGCACTTTGTGTCTTCGGATGAGTGTTCTCCAGAATAGATCATTGTATAGCACTTGGGGGCGGGGGGTACGGTGTTTGCCTCTCATTCAAGAGGTCCCGGGTCTGAAACCTGACAGCGGCAGAAAAATTACTCATCTCTAAAACGGTCTCCTTTCACCTCCTTCCATGATATGCAATTCTGCTTTCATCTCCACACTCCACTCCCCCTCCCACTCCATCCCCACATTCTAATCCCCCACTCCCATCCTCTGGGGTTCCTCTCTCCTTTACTTCTGACTCTTTTTACTGCTACTCCTGGCTCCTGCTGTCTTTCAGGAACACCCCTGATCTTAGGGTAGGTAAGGTCTAACACCTAGTCTTCTCAAGGATGAGTGAAAAATCTCTGAGATCCCGTGTGCAAGTTGTGCACGCTAAAGATCCCTCAGTGGTTCTACAATCAATGATGACAGCAGGCTTCGATCCCCACCAGCATATGTTTTAACAAACAACAAATAGAGAATTAGTAGTCCGCCCTTAAAAAAATCCCAATATGGCCATGGATAGTCTTTTTCCCTGGGGTGTCAAGGACAAGAGTTGTAGTCAAGTATAAATTTAAAGTAAACAAAGGCATGACGAAAAAAGAGGTATCACCGGGCTCGACATTGTTGAATTTTTAAAAAGGGGTGGGGGTGGGGGGTGGGGAGAAGAATATTATAATGCACTGCCACCATGGTTCCACTAGTTCCCCACTACCCAAAGTAAGGAAAAGTAATACCCCCATTGGCAATACAGTAGTCTCCGCCTAAGATCCTGGTGCTCGGGAGAAAGGAAAATGCGGGATCTTTGGGGAACTGTGATCTTAGCCGAATGGCCATGGGGAAAAATCCACAGTAACTCATGGTCAGGCCCAAATCAGTACAATGATCTCCCCTTACTTTAAAAGGAAGTGAAATGACGCCTGGCTATAAAAGTTCTTTTTAGAAGTCAGTTTTTCCTCTCTTTTTTGTTGGGGGGGCTTTTAAAAAAATACTGTGTCAGTAGGTGGGAGCTTGTTGGCTTCAGGCAATGCCCCCCACCAAAAATATATTGATTACCATCTCTGACAGAGATCCCTGCCCATGTCATGATGCAGCATAAATCGTTGTAATGTGGCCACACCGACTAAATAAAAAAAAAAATTAAAGGCAGGTTCACTGCCAACAGATGACCACATTATGCAAAGGTGATTGGACGGTCCACGAGTATGGGCGCCAGCCTGTCTAGGAAGTTCGAAGGCAAAACTGAAAGTGAAAGACGAGAGCAATGGTCAGGGAAACGTAAGCATCAACGAGTTCATAGTTTGATGGAATGCAGTCTGATGCTTGCTTGTAGGCCCTCCCCACGCAGTGTGCGATGTAAGATCAGGTGGACGGCTCAAGTGATTGGGAAAAGCAACGCGGCGACGAGTTCACACCTTGGTGCGACCCCTTCAGGGCAAGCATAGTAACCGCTGATCGAGATTTACAACAGAGGTGTGATCGCATTCATGAGAGAGTGAATGATCCGTTATGCGACAGACCGTACAATGACCGCATATTTTCGCAACTTGGTCAATCAGCTGAGCGCACCTAGGTTTCTTATTCTTTTTTCCTTCTTAAAAAAAAACCCCCAACAAAATTATGACCAGAAGAGCGGGATCTTAGCATAATGTAGCTCCTTCGGTGTGGGTCAGAGCAGGATCTTATGGGTTACTTATATAGAGCAAAAATTCTGTTTTACCAAAACAGCAGGATCTTAGGAGAACTGTACCCATAAGCGGTGGGATCTTAGGCGGAGACTACAGTATAACATCTTCTAGCAACAGGACTTCACTATTGTAGGAAAATAGACATGGAGTATGTAAAAGTCAGTCAGGTGCACTGAATGGGGGAAAAATGTGGCTGACTAACTCAATACTCCCTTCTCTCAGGCCTATGGTAAAGGAATCAAAGAATCAGAATGAAGGAAAGAAAAAGAAAAAAAGGAGGAGGAGGAGTAGGAGGAGGAGGAGAAAAACCCCCACTGTATAACAAATTACCTATTATTCTCTTGCACATATGAGTGGCATTCACAGGAGTGTGTCCATTGCAGAAACAAGGCACGCAGCGGCCTCTTGATCGGTAGTAGTTCTTGTCACACAGGTGGCAGATGTTGCCACGGTAACCAGTCTCACACTGGTCACACTGGAGGAAGCCCTCGCCTGTCACAAATCACAAGACAAGGACATTGAAATTCCTCTCTGCACTACTGAGAAACAAATCCTTTGAAAATGAAAAAAAACAACAACAACAAAAAAAGTAACACAAAAGGGCAATTTTTGTTTAAGCTTTAGCAAGGGTTTTCCTGCTTTTACAACATAATTAGGTTGTATAAATGCTAAAGATTAAGGTGTTACTACACGTTAATACACAAAGAAAAGAAGGAGAGGTAAGGAAGATAGATGTTTGATAAGAAAGAAGGAGCAAACCGCACCAGACACCCACCTTCAACGGAATATGAATAAATCTTTTGTTTTGTTTAAATGATCAACTGATGCAAATTTCACCATCTCGAAGACTCAGGTCTTGGTGTCCAATAAGAACACCCAGCCAACACAGAAATCAAACCAGGAAGGAAGAGAAAAATGAAACTATTTGAATTCGAAAGAAGATCAAGACCGAGAAGTCTGTGTGGAAACTGGCAATTAAACAAGGAACCATCTACTACAAGCCTGCCTAATACCAAAGAGTCTACATAACAAGAGGGGCCACTTCTCACTTTGAGCCAATTAAAAAAGTGTCCTCAAAATTCGGTGGCGCCTCTTCGCAAAAGCGCACCTTTAGCAAACAGAGTTATCTTACTTGAGTTTAAAAAATGAAAGTGAAACTAGCAAGTTTTTGAATGAATTTCGGAAGTATGCTTTTGTAAAATGGTTACACTGACAAAAAACCTCTTCCGGAGGAAAGGGTGATTGTTTTCTTCGTTTAATTTGACTTTAGAATGAAAGGCGAGAGGTCATTAAAATATTTTTAAAAACCTAAAACTCCGCACTGAACGAACCCGAACTGCAGATGAACAGCAGTCGATCTGCGCACACAAGGAGCTGCTATTCCTATTCTTCTTCTGGAAAAACGAAAGAGAGCTTCAAAACAGACTGCAGCGCCATCTGAAGCAAAGAGCATACTTCCTGCGGACACTTTTTTGGCTGAGTGGCCTATCTTGTTATGTACTATCTTTGCTAATACTTGAGGCACTCGAGGGGAATAGTCATTTGCACAGGTTGTCATTTGAGCAAGGTCAACTGTAACTGATGAGGCCTGGTTCTGTGAATATTCTCTTAGAGCTACTCTGACTCGGATCCATTTCAAGCAAAATTAAATCATTACCCTGCTGATCTGCCATGCCTTAACCTTGACCTGGTCTAGAAACACATTTAATTAAATCTCATTTTACAAACTAGTTTTATTCTTTTTCCAACAGTAAGTTTGCTCAGAAGCCACAATGAACAATGACTGTCTTTTTGTGTATGTGTTCTTCATTTGGCTATGAGTGTATAATATGTATTTGAAAGAATTGTTATATGTTGAATGGTCAAGTCTTCATGAATTACTGATTTAAATCTTATTTTAGTGTCAGGCACTTTTGCCACTAGCTGGAGGGTGCTAAAAAATGGTACGGTGAAATGGCATAGGTTTAACACCTCTATCAATATTGTTAGGTTATTTAAGAGGCGAGACCTCCGAGTTTAATGTCTATCTCCGAAAGGACTGAGCCAAGAGGGAAATTCGTGTAACGTGCCTTTTTCAAAGACGCAATGTCGGACCGAGCTGAGGCTCGAACGCTGAAACCTGCAATCTCACGATAACCACTAGGCTACCGACACCACTGAGGGCACTATAGGAGTGATCTTTATCATTATTACTTATAACACAACAGACCACCTGTTTTGAGGAAACGACACACGTCACAGTATTTGCAAAAAAACCCACAACCCCCCCCCCCCCCCCCCAAAAAAAAAAAACAACTCACGAAAGCTGCAGGTGGCGGTGCGTGTTGCATGTTCATTACATGGGCATCGATGACACGGGTAATAAGGTGCCGTTCGGTAGTAGCCGGGCTGACACACCTCACAGAATGGACCCGTGTAGCCAGTCTTACACTTGCAGTACTGTGGGCCATGGTCTGCTTTACAGTCTTGCAAGACGGCACCAAACATGTCACACTGACAAGCTGAACAGAGAAACAACATAGATTTAATTCATAATAAGATGCAGGGTGACTGCTAAACTTATTTTAAATCTTTTAGTTTTAGTTTTAGTAAGAGTTTTACGGCACTTGCAACACAATAAGGTCATATAAGTGCCGAAGAATAGATTATGTGTTACAAGAGAGTAACAACAAACACAAAAAAGAAGGAGGGAAGATAAGGACGACAGATGTTTGATAGGAAAGAAGGAGCAAACCACACCAGAGCACCCGCCAACCACCCACACTTTAAATCTTTACATGGTCAAATCACTTCCTAGGGGTACATATCAGAAAAGTATATTTTAACTCACTCAGCCCTGAGCCCGAGATAGTCGGGTAGCGTGCTTTCACGCTGGGACCTGAACCCGACAGTATCGGGATGGAAATTTCTTTTTAAATTTTCGTAGAGGTTTTACGGCGCTCGCAACTGCGTAAGGTCATATGAGCGCCAAGGGGAGGATGTCAACAGAGAAGTTCTTTACAGGGAATCCGACTTACTCTGCTCACCTCTCTAGCTTCAACAGCACAGAGTCTGCTTCGATTATCAGGGCATCCCGGAAATAGCGGGTCACAAGAGTGTGACAAACATACAAAAGAAGTAGAGGAAAACGACGATAGTAATGATAAGGAAAGAAAAAGCAGCAGTTCCTTGCTGTAGTTCAGGCACAGTTATGAGCATGACATTGTTGGACCAGCCCATTTGCAATTCTACTGTGCATTAGATTGAGAAATGTCCCGAAATTTCTGCAGCTTAATACATAAACACACTTCAAATAAGAACATACTACACTTTATAAGTTAAAATGACCCGTGGCTATTTCTTTATAAGAAACAGACCATTACAAGGGCAAAGGTTAATTTTTTGACCAACAATTGAACATAACTTAGCACGTGGTAACGAAGTGGGAAATAAGAACGAGTCTTGGTCTTTCATCCGAACCACTTTTTAGTGCAGTGCGTGTTGCTGACTTTTTTCAAATGGCAATATCTCCCAGACTACCAAATGTATTCAAATTCTGTAAACGGTCATAGACCATGTAATGACTAAACAAATTGTGTGTGAAAGAGTACGGCGACTGAAATTGATTTAATATTTTTTTCTTTATCACACTTTCCAAACTTGACTTAAGGTTGTTAGGTTGCATTCAATATAACCATTATTTCACAAAATCCTGGCACAGTAAATGACATATTTTAAAAAAGACATAACCTTTAAACTTAACCCATCACTGAAAGAAAAATGTTCACAAAAGACTAATAAAGAGCATTTTACTTTATTTCCTTTAAAAACAAAAAACAAAAAAAAACCCAATAAAAACTTTCCTCAGTGTCCTTTTACTGTTTATTCTCTTTAGTACTCACTGTACGGCAGAGAGTAGAGCCTACAAACACAACTGAAAGTGCCAAGTACCACCACTCACTTTTGTTCTCGCCAGCAAGCCATGTATTAATGAACACCTTCTTCTGCGTCTCATAGCTGTCTCCAGAGAGGTAAGTGGCTTTGACACTGATCCAGTACTCCATGCCCGGCTCCAAGCCCGTGATGTTGGCTTGTCGAAATGTCGGCGGAACTTTCATGCTCTTCACTGGGAGGTAAGAAAGTAAATGAATGATAGGAAGAAAGAAAAAAGAATGATTGCAAATAAACCTGAACCACTTAAAGCAAAAGAAATTGAAATATTTTACTTCACCATTGGCAAAATCTAAGAGGACAGCAGTGTTGCTCCAGCCTGTTAGAATCAGCCTGGACTGAGTGGGGATACATTCATCAAAGAGACAACGACAGTCAATAACATATCTTCCTAGACAGGGGAATTGAAATAATGCCATGTTTACAATAGGTGAAAAGCATCAACCGTTATACTAAACATGTTAGTGGAGAAAAAAAATTAAACAGAATGAAGTAAAAACTCCTTACTTAAATTTTGAGATAAAAGACAGCTCCCAAGGATACATGTGTTTGCTTTTGATTTTGTACAAGCTTTGAAAAAGACATATTTATTGATAACAATTAATGTGTTGTTAAGAGAGAGAGAGAGAGAGAGAGAGAGAGAGAGAGAGAGAGAGAGAGAGAGAGAGAGAGAGAGAGAGAGAGAGAGAGGCGGGGACGAAAGAGAATATTTCTTTCAAGACGAATGGGTCGTTCACAACGCCTACTCTTATTAGTCCTAACTGTAATAAAGGAGGCGTTGGTGGGGCAGTTTGCGTTCCCACGCACGAAAAAGTTGCACACTGTTTTATTTTACTACATGTATTATTTCGTCCATCCCCATCCTACGCTGAACAAACACTCAAAGGCCTA